TTATCTTCTGGAGTTTGTGTATTGTTGGTTATAGTTTGTATCCTGTTAATGTAGTGTATAAGGGCCTCTAGCATTGATCCCATTTTTTCTTCCATGAACTTTACAGTTTTTGGCTTTATATTTAGGTCTTTGATCTATTTTGAATTAGTTTTTGTATATGGTGTGAGGTATGGATCCTGTTTCATTTTTTTAAAGATGGACACCCAGTTTTGCTAGCATCATTTGTTAAAAAGACTGTCTTTTCCCCATCTGATGGACTATGGGCCCTTGTCGAAGATCTGGTGACCATAGGTGGATGGATTTACATCTGGGTTCTCAATGCTGTTCTATTGGTCAACGTATCTGTCATTGTACTAGTACCAGGCTGTTTGACTACTGTAGCTATATAGTAGGTTCTGAGGTCAGGTAGTGTGAGTCCTCCTACTTTATTCTTCTTCTTCAGTGGTGGCTTACTTATCCAGGGCTTCTTTCCTTTCCATATAAAGTTAATGATTAGTTTTTCCGTGTCTTTAAAGAATGTTGTTGGTATTTGGATCGTGATTGCATTGTATTTGTAAATTGTTTTTTGTAGAACGGTCATTTTCACAATGTTAAGTCTACCTATCTGTGAGCATGGTATGTTTCTCCATTTATGTAGCTATCTTTTGGTTTCTTGCAGTAGTGTTTTGTAGTTTTCTTTGGATAGGTCTTTTACCTGGTTAGATTTCTTTCTAGGTATTTTATCTTATTTTTGTTTTTTTTTAGGGACTATTATAAAATGTGGAAACCCTCATGCCTCATGGCATAATGGTTAAGAGCTATGACTGCTAACCAAAACGTTAGCAGTTCAAATCCACAAGGTGCTCCTTGGAAACCCTCTGGGGCAGTTCTACCCTGTCCTATAGGGTCGCTATGAGTTGGAATCAAATTGACGGCAGTGGGTTTTTGGGTATTTTTTGGTTTTATTATAAATGATATTGTTTTCCTGATTTCCTTTTCATTGTTCTCTTTATTGGTGTATAGGAATCCAACCAATTTTTGTATGTTTATCTTGTATCCTCTACTCTGCTGAATCATTCTATTAGTTCCAGTCGTTTTCTCATGGAGTCTTTTGGTTTCTCTATGTATAGTATCATATTATCTGCAAATAGGGACAGTTTTACTTCTTCTTTACCAATTTGAATGCCTTTTATTTCTTTTTCTTGCCTTATTGCTCTAGCTAGGTCTTCCAGCATGATGTTAAATAGGAGTGGTGTTAAAGGGCTTCCTTGCCTTGTTCCCGTTCTCAATGGGAATGTTTTCAGCCTCTCTCCATTAAGCATGTTGTTGCATGTTGTTTTTGTATAGATGCCCTTTATTATGTATTATGTTGAGGAATTTCCTTTCTATACCTATTTTGTTGAGAGTTTTTTATCAGGAATGGGTGTTGAACTTTGTTGAATGCCTTTTCTGCCTGGATTGAGTTGATCATGTGATTCTTTTATTTTATTTGTGTGGTGGATTATGTTGATTGATTTTCTAATGTTGACTCATCCTTGCATACCTGACCAGGACTTATTTTTGTTGGGAGTTGTTTTTAATTACCTTTTCAATCTCTTCTCTTGTTATGGGTCTGTCTTAGTTATCTATTGCTGCTATAACAGAAATTCCACAAATGGATGGCTTTAACAAAGAGAAATTTTTTCTTTCACAGTCTAGGAGGCTAGAAGTTCAAATTCAGGGTGCCATCTTCAGGTTAAGGCTTTCTCTCTCTCTCTGTCAGCTATAGGGGAAGGTCCTTGTCATCAATCTTCCCCAATCGAGGAGTTTCTCAGCACAGGGACCCCGAATCCAAAAGACACACTATTCTCCTGTTTCTTGGTAGTGTGAAGTCTGCATGTCTCTCTGTTCACTTCACTCTTTTATATCTCAAAAAAGTTTGACTTAAGACACAACCTAATCTTGTAGATTGAGTCATGCCTCATTAAGATAACTGCCACTAATCCCATTTTATCAATATCATAGAGAAAAGATTTACAACACGTAGGAAAATCACATCAGATAACAAAATGGTGGACAATCACACAATACTGGCAATCATAGCTTAGCCAAGTTGACATACATTTTTGGGGGACACCTTTCAATCCTTAACAGGGTCTGTTCAGATTTTCTACCTGAGTTTGTGTTAGTTTAGATAGGTAGTGTGTTTCTAGAAATTCGTCTATTTCCTCTAGGTTTTCAAGTTTGTTAGAGTACAGTTTTTCATAGAACTTTGTTATGATCCTTTTTATTTCAGTCTGTCTGTTGTAATGTCCACTATTTTATTTCTTATTTGGATTATTTGCTTTCTCTTCTGTTTTTCTTTTGTCAATTTGGCCAATGGTTTGTCAATTTTGTTGATCATTTTAAAGAACTTACTTTTGGTTTTGTTGATTCTTTCTATTTTTCTACTCTCTATTTCATTTATTCTTGCTCTGATTTGTATTATTTCTTTTCTTGTTGTGGTTGTGGGCTCCTTTTGCTGTTCTCTTTCTATTTATTCAAGTTGTGTAGCTAACATTTTGATTTTGTCCCTTTCTTCTTTTTTGATATGTGCATCTATTACTACAAATTGACATCTGAGCAGTGTCTTTGCTGTGTCCCAAAGGTTTTGGTATGATGTGTTTTCATTCTTATGTGATTCTAGGAATTTTTTGATTCCAACGTTGATTTCTTCTATTACTCAGTGGTTTTAAGCAAGGTGTTATTCAGTTTCCTCGTATTTGATTTTTTTCCCTTGATTTTCTTGTTATTTATTTCTACTTTTATGGCTTTGTTATCACAGAAGATGGTTGTATATCTCAATATTTTGCATTTATTTGTTGAGGGTTGCTTTGCAGCCTAAGATGTTCTCTATTCTGGAAAATGTTTCATGCTCATTGGAAAAGAATGTATACTCGGCTGCTGTTGGGTGGAATGTTCTATATATACCATTGAAGTCAAGTTGTTTGATTATGGCCTGTAGATCTTCTGTATCTTTGTTATGTTTCTTTTTAGATGTTCTGTCCTTTACCAAGAGTGGTATGTTGAAATCTCCTACTTTATTGTGGAACTGTCAGTTTCTCTTTTCTATAGTGTTAGAGTTTGTTTTATGTGTTTGGGAGCCCTGTTGAGTGCATAGATATTTATTAGCGTATGTCTTCTTGGTGGATTGCCCTTTAATCATTATATAATGTCCTTCCTTGTCTTTTATGGTAGATTTTGTCTTAAAGTCTATTTTATCTGAGATTAGTTTTGCCACTTCTGCTCTTTTTTGGTTGTTGTTTGCTTGATATATTTTTTTCCATCCTTTGATTTTTAATATATTTATGTCTTTGTTTCTAAGGTGTGCCTCTCGTAGACAGCATATTGATGGATCCTGTTTTTTTAATCCATTTTGTGACTCTGTCTCTTTATGGGTGCATTTATGCCATTTATGTTTAGTGTGAGTATCAATAGGTGTGAATTTATTGTAGTCATTTTGTAGTGGTTTTTTTTTTTTTTTTTGGTGGTGATATTTTCTTTGTTCCTCCTACTCTCCTGTCTGTGCTGAGTTCCTTTTGCTTGTGGATTTTCTTTTCGTTTCTTTCATTTTTGTAGATTTTATTTTTACTGAGACTTTAAGTTTTTCTTCATTTTGATAAGTAGTTTTTTAAAATTTCTTTTTGGTTATCTTGAAATTTACCCCTCTCTTCCTAAGTTTGAAACAATCTTTTATTATTTGCTATCCCCTTGACTTCCTGTCCATTTGAAAGTTCTATCCATACACCATTTATTCCCTCTTTTTCTCTTCTGATGTTGTTATCATTTACAGATTGATATCTCTTGTTCCCTGTTATAAATCTTTTAGTTTTCTTTTATCCTCAAGAGTTCATTACATAGGTTGATATCTGGTTGACTCTGTCCTATATCCTAGATTCAGGTTGTTGTCTGATGTTGTTGGTTCTCTAATGAAGGACTCTGTTTAATAATTTTTGTAAGTTTGGTTTGGTTTTATGTATTTTCTTAATTTCTGTTTATCTGGAAACTTCCTAATTTCACCATCATATTTCAGTGACGGTTTTGCAGGATATATTATTCTTGGTTGGCAATTTTTTTCTTTCAAGGTTTTATATATTTCATGCCATTGCCTTCTTGCTTGCATGGTTTCTGCCGAGTAATCACAGCTTAGTCTTATTGTTTCCCTTTTGTATGTGACTTTTCGTTTTTCTTAAGCTGTTCTCAGGATTCTTTCTTTGTTTTTTGTTTTGGTGTGTGTGATTATGATATGTCTTGGTGACTTTCTTTTGGAGGTATATCCTATAAGGGGTTTAATGAGCTTCCTGGATGGTCAGCTTTTCATCTTTCATGATATTAGGGACATTTTCTGTCAGCAAATCTTCAATGATCTACTTTGTGTTTTCCATTTTCTCCCGCTGTTCTGGAACTTCTATCGTGTGTGAATTTTTTGCTCTTGATTGTATCCCACATAGTTCTCAAGTTTTCTTCATTCTTTTCTCTGATTTTTCCTCAAACAAAGTGGTATCCAAGGATTTGTCTTCAATTTTGCTGATCTTGTCTTCTATTGTTTCAGATTTGCTCCTAAAACCTTCTATTGCATTGTCCATTTCTGAAACCTTTTTGTTTGTCTTTTGGATTTCTAATTGCTGTTTTTCTATGATTTCTAATTGTTTATTGATTTTGACATTTCATTTCTGTGTTATTTTCCTGAATTCTTCCATTGCTTTGTCTGTGTTTTCCCTGATTTTGTCTGTATTTTCCAGATTGTGTCTATTTGTTTTTCCTTAGTTTTGTCTGTGTTTTCTTTCATCTCTTTCCTAATGTCTTGGAGTGCCTTGAATATCAGACTTTTGAATTCCCTCTCAGGTAGTTCCAGTGCCTTTTCTTCTACCGGAAGGTCATCTAGTGTTTTTTTCTTTCTTTCTTTCTTTTTTTTGGTTGCTTACTGGAGCCATCCTGTCCTGTTTTTTTTTTTTTTTTTTAAATATGTTTTGGTGTTGTCTGCTGTCTCCAGCACGTTCAGGAAGAATATGAAATGCTTTATGAATTTGTGTGTCATCCTTGTGCTGGTACCATGCTATTATTCTCTGTATCATTTCAATTTTAGTATATGTACTGCTGAAGCAACTACTAAAAGTTTTATTTTTTTATGTTCTAGGTGGAAGAACTTTCTTTTCTTCTTTTTTTAACTTTAACACTAATTTTGTTGCATTGTGATCAAAGACTGTTGTATATAATACTACTAATTTACAGAACGTACTGATGTTTTCTTTGTATATGACATTTTTTGCATGTGTGAATGTTCCATGAATACTTAAAAAAATGTGATCTCTATTATCAGGGTGTAAAATTTCATATATATTCATAAGGTCTATCTTTTTTTTTTTTAAGGTCTTCTATAGTCTTACATATTCATTTGTCCGCTTGATTTTTCTTGTACTGAGAGAGTTGTGTGAAAATCTCCTATTATTAGAGTGTATCTTACATCGCCTGTAGTTTTTGCTTCATGAAGAAGATTGCTGTATTGTTTAGTGCATAAATATCTATAACATATCTTTATATTGAATTGTAGCTTTTAGCTTTTAAAACTGCTTTTTTGTTTGAGTTCTACTTTTTTCTTCTATAAGAGTCATTATTACTGCTCTATTCCTACTTCTAATGCCTGGTATACCTTTGCCCACCCTCCCCAGCCCCCACTTTTTTAGTCTTTCCACTGATTTTGTTTTAGGTATGGCTCTTGTACATAATACATATGTTGGTCTTATTTTATGAGACAAATTGAAAAAAACTTTTTTTAATTACATGAATAAAGCCCATTCAAATTTATCAATATGACTGGTATGTTTCATCTCAACTGTGTCATAATATTTTATACTATGAGTATTTTGTTGTATTTGCCATATTTCTTTATGTGATGTGTATTCTTTGATTATTTTTCTTTTCTTTAGTATTTAGAAAGGTTTCTATTATTATTTCAGTGGTTAATTTCATGTTTTCTTATTTAAATTTCTACCATTGAATTTGTCCATTTTTCAAAGTATTCTATAATTTCCAATTATTACCTATATAATGAGTTTATTTCCACGTCCTTCTTCCTGTTGCCCCATTTTTAATTGCATTATCAGGGTTAGTCATAATATATAGCATTGCACATTAATCCATTAATCTTCCATCCTCTACCTTTGTTTTAGTCTTAAGTGTACAAATATATACATATATATACAACACATGCACACATATACCACATGTGCGCACGTATACCACACACACACTTTAATACACACATATAATACACACAATATACATGTAATACACTACATGTAACATACATGCAACATATATTTAAACATGTGATGTGTGTGCACATAACACATGTGTGGGGCTCATGTGTTGTATGGCACACGTGTGTAATGCACATGCACGTGTATATGATGCACATGCATGTGTGTATGATACATACATATATACATACATATACATAGATTATATATGAAAAAGGACTATGTATATATTAATATGTATATGGCTTGTGTGTATGTATGTACGTATATATATATGAAAAAGGACTGATGGTGAGTGCTTTATATTATTCCTTTTTCATAAGATTTCCCAGTAATTTCTTTGTTGAATGAAGCCCATCCTCTACAAGATTCCTCAAGACAGGCTATGAGTATAAAATTCTATAAGTACTTGAATATTTAAAACATTTTATATAAACTTGATATTTAATAGTAGCTTTGTTGACTGAAAATAAAATTCCTGGTCCATGCTCTAAGTTAGTGAGTGTTTAGAAAGCACTGTTCTATTTTTGCTTTGCTTAATGTGTTGTGTTTGTCAAGTATGATGCCAGTCTAGTTATTTTGCTGTTGTATCTATTTGCTTCTATCCCTCTTTACTACCAAGTTTCTGGTGAGCACCTCTACCTTCCTTCGTCTTCTTTTTTTTTCTAACACACTCCCTTCTAGGCCTAATTGACCACTTTTTTTTTTTTTTTTTTTTGGTAAAAATATCTATAACAACATTTTCCAATTTAACATTTTTCACATCTACAATTTAGTGACATCAATTATATTAATCATGTTGTGCAACTATCACCAATATCCATTGCAAAATTGACCATTTTGCATCACAAATACTTCCTTGTAGTTAGTGGTTGCATCCACCAAGATACCTTTTTTTTTTTTTTTTAAACATTTTCACACTTAGGTTGGACTTTCTCACTTTGATGGTTGTCTAAGGACAATTTCAGACTTGTTGTTAAGTAGCTTCTCACTTCCCTTCAGTTGTTTTGAGCTGTCTTTGCTCATTAACAAGTGACATTTAATATTTAATAAATGAAAGAATTATGCAGGACAAGGATAAAGCAAGTTGAAATTCCCAAAAAATCCAGGATACAGGGTGTTACAGGTAAGGTCTAGACTAGAGGTCAGTAAACTTCCCACAAAGGGCCAGATAGTAAATACTTTTGGCTTTGTGTTACAACTATTCAACTCACTGTTGTAGCATACCGTCGCTCATAGACAGTACTTTATCAATGAGCTTGGCTGGATTTGGACCACAGCCATAGTCTGCCAAACCCTGATCTAGATAACAGAGTCTCTGTTCAAACCAAAATTCTGGGCTCACACCGCTACTTATCTATTTACAATGCTATGCATTGAGAGATAGCATATCATACTGATTAAGAGCATGGACTCTAGAGCTGGATTGCCCAGTTCAATCTATGACAATCTATGGTCGCTATCTTTGTGACCATAGACAAGTCACTATCCTCTTTGTGCTTTAATTTCCTCATTCTAAAATAGGGATGATAACAGTATCTAGGTCATAGGGGTAAAATGAAGATTAAATGAAATAATATTTGTAGAACACTTAGAGCAGAACCTGGCACATGGTAAGTGCGAGATATATATGTTAAATGAATGTTGAATTGGTCATTGCTAAGCACTTTACCATACCTTACCTCATTTTCTTCCCCACAGAAGCCCAGTGAAATAGGTATTAATATTATTCTCATTCTAAAGACATGAAAACTGGGACTCAGAAGAACCAAGAAAGTTTCCTATGGTTTCACAGCTAGTAAGTGTTAGGGTTATCTCTTGCCCTTGAGTCAATTCCAACTCACAGCAACCCTATAGGACAGAGTAGAACTACCCCATAGGGTTTCCAAGGAGAGACTGGTAGATTCAAACTGCCAAGCTTTTGGTTAGCAGCCAAGTTCTTAACCACTGTACTACCAGGGCTCAAAGTGATAGCATTAGGGCCATATAAATACATTTAGAGGTAAAAAAAAGCTCTGGAAAAAATGTGCAATGCATTCCTCCTACCCCATACCAACTCAAAATAAAAGATATATGGATTGGTTTTTGTACTGGTTTTAAAATATGATTGCAAATTCTTTAACACTCCTCCCATCAAGTGGAATTCTTTCCCTTTGAAGCTGAGTGAAAGTTACACTGAAATTTCTAAGACTAAACTATAAAGACCACGCAGCTTCTGCCTTGTTCTCTGGAACATGCTCCCTTGGAGCCCTGAGCTGCCATGTAAAAAGTCAAATTACTCTGAGGTCACAGTACTGTGAGGAAGCCCAAGTCACATGGAAAGACCAAGTATAGGTTTCTCAAGTCAACAGCCCCACCTGAGCCAAGCTTTTGAGTCTTCCCAGCCCGGGAGCCAGATATGTGAATGAAACAGTCCCAGCCATGCAGTAACCTACAGCCATTTAACTCTTCCCATCTTTGGACCCAGAAATCATGGAGCAGACAAGTCATCCCCGCTGTGATTAGTCTGAGCTCGTGAACCACAGAATCCGTGAGCATAATAAAATAGTTGGTGTTTTTTTTCCACTAAGTTTTGGGGTTGTTTGCTACTGCATAGATAAATAGTAAGGCTTTTTTTCTTTCCAGATTTTCCTAAACAAAAATTATTGTTATTATAATTTATCAAGGCTGACCTTCCTTCATTTTTCAGTGCCATTGCTTTGCTGGTATGCTCATGGTACTTGAGTTATTCAGCATTAGAGGGAGCTAAAATTTGAAAATTTAGTAAGTTTTCCTTAAGAGCAGTGTTGCTAACCCCTACACTTTACTAGTGGCCTAGAGCAAACTGTTTCATTTCTTTTTCTCAGTTTCCTCTTCTAAAATGGTGAGAAAAGCTTGCTTTGCAAAGTTGTCATGGAAATCAAGTGATCCCACGGGCATTAAACTGTTTTAAAGAAGTTTAGACTACAGGCCTTTGGCAGGAGATCCAGGGCAAAGGGTAGTTTTAATCTTCCTATAGTTCTAGTCTTGCAAAGGATATTTGCCCAAAGAAATGAATGGTGTTGATGCCACAGCCATCAGAAGAACAAGCACGCGTCTCACTGTACATTGGGGGCTCCTAAATGGTCTATGTGTGTGCACATGTGTGTAATTCAATAGTGGGCCAGCCTGGTGATTTTAAAACAACTCAAGTGTCTGACATGAAAGCAAGTGACAATACTTGGAATGAGGGCCAGGAAATGCAAGCACATTGCAAATCATTCGATCGTGCTGTCGGGGGAATCATAGTCACCATATACTTTTTTCTTAAATGTAGTTTCCAGGAAACCTTTCATAAAATTCATGACTGTGGCTGACCTCTGCTACATGCTTGCTTCCACGGCTCTCCCTCGCCCCTCAAGTATAACCCAGGCTTGTAAGGCACTTGTGGCAAACACTGTTGACTGACTGCTGAACAGCCATTTTCAACCCCTTTCTCCCTTGCTACCTCCTTCTATAGAGTCAAGAAAACCAGTACTTGCCATCTAGCTTCCCATTCAGCTAAAGGAGAAGGTCCATGAAGAATAAGCAGAAATCTACTGGGAGAGGTCTTTTGTAAAATATTTCTCTTTTCTGTTATGAGGACCCATATTGCTGACACAATCTTTCCCAATTATTCTTTCTACTGCCTTGAATGCGTATGAATGGAGCTGCAGCAGACATGTTGTGGCAATGAGGGAAATTCCAAGAGTGATATTTACTCTGACATCTTCAAACCAACCTTGTGTCTGTGAGAAAAAATATGCCCTTATTTGTGAAAGCCGCTGCAATTACACTTTCTGTTACCTGCAGATGCAAAAAATTCTGATATAAAACTGTAGGAAAAAAAAAA